TTATTCACACCCGCGCCCGTGCACCCACACGGTTATTCACACCCGCGCCCGTGCACCCACACGTTTCTTCACTCTCACACACAGATTAATCCATTCACTCATTGGTGCTGGGTTCATTCATTCTCCCCCCTTGCCTGGGCCTCACTCCCGTGCACCCGCAGGCCAGAACCGTCACTGGTGACCACAGCACATAGGTCCCTGGCCCTGCCGGTCCTCGTACTGCCCCTTCTCCATCATACTTTGATCCCTTCTTGCTTCTGAGCCTCTGCTAGTCCCTGGTGCCCACGCAGGCCCTGGCCCGGTGCACCGGGGAGGCCCCCCGCACTGACCGACTGCTCCTGCCCACAGGCCGGTGTGAAGGACACAGAAAACCGTGTGGCGCTGCACGCCCTGACGCGCCCGCCCGCCCTGCTCCTCCTGGCCGCGGTCAGCAGCGGCCTGCGCTTCGTGCTGGCCTCCTTCGCGCTGGCTCTCCTGCTGCCTGTCTTCCTGGCCGTGGCCGCGGTGAAGCTGGGCCTCAGGGCCCGGTGGGGCTCGCTACCTCCGCCCGGAGGCCTCGGGGGGCCATGGGTGGCCGTGCGCGGCTCTGGGGACGTGTGCGGAGTCCTGGCCTTGGAGCCAGGCACCAATGCGGGGGATGGGGCGCGGGTCACCCGCCTCTCCGTGTCCCGCTGGCACCGCCGGCGCGGGGTGGGCAGGAGGCTGCTGGCCTTTGCGGAGGCGCGGGCGCGGGCCTGGGCAGGGGGCATGGGCGAGCCGCGGGCCCGCTTGGTGGTCCCCGTGGCCGTGGCAGCCTTGGGGGTGGCGGGGATGCTGGAGGGCTGCGGGTACCAGGCCGAGGAGGGCTGGGGGTGCATGGGCTACGTGCTGGTGCGTGAATTCAGCAAAGACCTGTGACCGCCGCGCCGGGGAGGGCTCCGAACGCACCTGCTGGGTGCGGGACAGGCTTTGCCCGCACTGCCCGTGCACGCCCTGTGGGCAGGGGCGGCGAGTGCCCTCAACTCTCAAGTGGACTCTTTGAGGGAGGGGGCACCCCAGGTCAGCCCGCCCCACCCGTTGCCTCACGCTGAGAAATCCCCTCCCCCGTGCTACAGGTGTGGGAGAGATTGGGGGGCTCAGGTATGCGCCCCCCCCAGAGTGAGGCTTAACAGCGGGGACAGTCTAAATAAGGCGGCACGTTGGATTAGGTACTGGGCCGCGCACTCGCAGGACATTGTAGGTCGGCAGTTCAAACCCACCGGCTGCTCAGCGGGAAGAAATGTGCACAGCCACATTGACAGTGGCGGGAACCCGAGAGGCCCCTCTGTCCCGAGCCTCTGTCCTGCGGGGTGGGCTTCTGGTTTGAGCATGAGGTGGGGTCTGCGCCTGATGGGAGGGGAGGGGCTGCGGGGTGGGCGGGGAGGGTCGGCAGGGGGAGGGCTGTGTGCATGGGGCGGGGCCGGCAGGTCGATCTGGAAAGCCTCTCATGTGGGGGGTCCCTCCCAGCCGTCTGGTTTTTTACGCTGGGTTTGTCAATAAAGCCCTAAACCGCTCTGTGCCCGGCTCGGTGTCTGATGCCTTTTCCAGCCTGTCTCGGACCCCTGCCCCCACAGCCTCCTGTCTGGTTCCTCCCTCCCCGGCTTGACAGGAGTTGTTGGGGGGCAGGGGAGGCGATGAGCTCACGGCGGGCCCGGCCCCTGCCAGGCCTGACTCACCAGCCCCATTACCGAATTCTTTCCAGTTCGCAGCTGCCTGGTGCAGAGAGTGTGTGTGTGTGTGTGTGTGTGTGTGTGTGTGTGTGTGAAAGTGTCCATGTGTGTTAGAGAAAGGGGGTGTGGAAGAGGCAGTGGGTGTGTGAGAACGTGTGTGAGTGTGTCAGAGGGAGGATCTGTGTGAGTGTGTAAGGTGTGTGTCTGTGTATCTAACTTGCTCAGGACCATCACCCCCACTTCTCACTCCTCACCCCTTGAGGTCGTCCAAGTTCACCCGCGCCTCCCCACATGCAGACCGGGCCTCCTCCCTAATGCTGGAAGTCCTCCCTGGTGTCTGGCTGCAAGCTCTGCCTAGATGTCCCCACCGCATCCCCCACGGGGCTGGGGGTGGGAGGAGGCAGCCAGGGGCTCCCTGTGGCCACCTCCCCGCTGGCCTGCCACCCTTAGGGCCGGCCTGCCGTCTGGCCGGTCCTCCTTCTGTGTGGGTGTTTGCAGCTTGGACAACCTCCCGCCTGCCCGCCAGCCCCCCTCCTCCCCACACCCCCAGGCCGACCAGCCCCTTCCCTGCCCCCCTGCTGTCCCC